GTATTGCTACACTGGACAGTTGCTTCTGTATTTGGTAATTTTCTGCTATTGAAACACTGATCATTAATATCACATTTTTCATAATGAGATAGCATTTTTATATTAGTTTTGTAATACCAGTTACGACCTTAAAGCTGTACAGATACTGTGTCTGGATAAGGAAAAGAGGCTAATTAAGAGGGAGGTAACCAATATGGTTTGAAAACTGAAGTTTTTATTTCAGAATAATATTCCATTGTTCTGAGGCAAATTCTAATGTTTGAGCTTTAATGTTGGCCAATGTGTGACAAACCCTTCATGAGGCAGTGACAGGGAGCTTCAAAGACAGGAACATGATGTTTAGAATTCAATCATTTATCTCCTAGTACTGAAAACAAGCAAAAAACATTCTCATCATTTTCTGTGATAATAAGATTTATTTTTTATATTTGATTATGAGATTTACTTTATTGTATGGGATAACTTTTGCTACGCTCTTTTTAAAATATCAGAATGCAATTCTGTTCAAAAGACTATTTTCCTTTGTTTTTCAACAAAAAAAATATTTGAAGTAATGATGTGTTTTTGTGCCAGAGGTGTCATCAGTGGTTGAAAGTAAGTCAAAGTAAGATTTTCCAAAATGGTTTTCAAAAATATGTGCAAACAGTGGGATAAAATGATGAAGTAAGTCTAACAGGAGAACACAAAGTCGTATTTGACGTCAGTTAGATTGTGATTCATAACTGAAAGTTTAGTTGAGTATATGAAAAAGGCAGAATTGATTTTTCACAGCGTAGCATAGTGTGCTGTAAAAATGCAGTTTAATATCGTCCAGCAGGACTGTAGTGTCTTAAGTATTTATGCTTTAAAAATATTTTCCTCAGCAGAATTTGATGTTCAAACAACTAATTTGTTTCTAAATTTAATATATTAAAAATACATTGAAAATGCATAAAGCATTGATTTCAATATACCTTAATTGCAAAAGAGTAAACAGACCACTTAGGTGGTGTGGAGTAAACTAAATATATAATATTCTTTATTGCATGCATCACTAAATAAATAATATTCTTTCACTGAATGGATCAATTTTCGTAGCTAGCAAGGTGCTTTTGTTGATACATATTACTTGTATAGTGTTGACATCAAATAAAAAGTATGTTTGATTTACCATAATCAAATTAAACTCTTTCTGCAGTTTCTGAGGAGTCTTTTTCAGTAGTTTGAAGGACCTGGAATGAAAGGATAACTAGTTTTCCACTGTTCAGATGTCACCATTTTTCAGTTGTTTCTGGTTAGTGTAGAACTCTTACCCAGTGTGCTGCATGGTTCCACAGAGAGTCTGTAGGCTTCCTACCTAATCCTTATGAGGTATTCTAAAATAAGATATAACCATATCAGATCAGTAGAGGTCCATACCTCAGGGATTATGACGAATGCTGACATAAAAATGTAGCTGTTGGGGAAAAGGGCTTGTTTTGAGTAATACCACAACTTGAATTTCTCTTTCATGACATTACTCAGCAATTAATTGAGACAGATTGTTTCTAGGATAGAAACAATAGTTTTCTTATTCTAGACTGTGCATAAAATATTTTTGAGGGCCCTAGTATTTGTAAAAGTACGTTCTTTTATTGAAAATAATTTCAAGATAAAATGTGACAGATTTTAAAGATGCATTGTTAATGTGTCTTGTAGTGTTATTTCTTGTTTCCAAGAAAGCCACAATGTGCTATTTCTCATGGAAGCAGTGGAATGTAAGAGCAAGATTACATCAACTACAAGCTGAAATGTGACATCATTGTTTCAACAGTAGCCTGCCAAATTACTTGGTTTTAATCTGTTCTTAAACGCAACAGAGAGGGCTGTCACAGTATCTGCTGCATACATAGTATGTGATCTACATTTTAAATGAAGATAAGATATTTAAGATCTACATTAATATTTGAGGACAGCTAAGAGACCTGAACCTCTTCTCTGTTTATAGGACAGTTAGGCAGATACGTAAGGTACAAAAGGTTGGAGATGTCACTCAAGCAGTATAAGGACCTTTCTGGGAGGATGCAACATGCAATTCACAAGCTTGTTGCTCTATTACATATTTGAAGAGTTTTCATTTCTTCTTATTGGAGTATGTCTGAGTCTGCATGTGGACTCTTACTTGTCAGCCATCCAGCCAGGGACAATCCAGCATTGCACATAATCCTCCTGCCCCACACATACCAGAGGATGTGGGGTTTTTACACTGCCTTTCATGCTAGTGACATTTCCTTACCTGTTCCATTGCAGGATTAAATGTTCTAGCCACCCATGGCATAAGTTATGTGGTATTACTCTAGTGTTTGATGTACTTGCTTGCTTGTGCTATGGAAGTGACAGGGAGCACTTGGGATCATGTAGAGATGACAATGCTAAATGCAGCTGTTCTTCCTGCTTCTCAAGTGTGGGTGCCACTGTGGTGTGGGCTGATGCTGTAATGTTTAGCTATGTACTGATTTCTGTACCAGCATCAGTAGCTCAGAGGGTTTACAAGGCCAAAGCCATGGTGCCCAGGCATAGGTTGAACATGCATATATACTCATACTTACCAGACATACTTACAGACATCTGCAGGTAGGCTTTCAATTTTTTAACTTCCTAAACATGCCTACCCTTTATTTTCTGAAACAGTGTGGGTTCACACTGCTTGTATTCTAAGCAAATATCCAGGCTGATGTGGTTGCCAAAGTGCTGAGCTTAACAATTTCAGTTGGCAGCAGCGATTTCTATTCACCTGGATTTGGTGCAGCAAGAGTGTCCTCTCCAGACTTTATGGTTTTACTTTAGGTAAATAGTTTACTTTCTAAAGTCCCAAGACATTACAGCTGACCCTTTGACACCTAGTTTTAAAAACCTCTGCTGTTACTTCATGTTTTGCAAACAGCAGGTTTGTCTTACAGAATTCTGAGTAGCCATCCACAGCCTAGGGATTACACCAGAAAGTAATTGCTGACTGAAGACTGTTTGAAAAACCTTTTGCCTTTTAAATCATTTATTTAGAGAAGCAGTGAAAATGCCACTATTGAATTTTAATACCTAGGCTACCAGAGCTTTTTTTTTTTTTAAATGTTTAAGATGTTTTGAATCAGAAACCTTAGATACCGAACTTTATTGTTTTAATCACGAGAACAAACAAAAGCCTTTTTTACACATATAAATGCTCCTAATTAAATGCTTTTGGAAAGTAGGTCAAGCTGAACAGGAACAAAGCACTCTCTTATTCCAAAATAAGAGTGTTCACATATGGAATTATTCAGAAACAGCTCTTAGTACTTTAAAATTCCCAGGCAGTGTTAATCTGTCTTATCTTTCAAATGCAGGCAAGCGCTATAGTTTTCCTTCCCCATTCCTATCGTATTGCAGACCCAAAACACATTGGATATTGAAATTTTTCATCACTTGATTAGGTGGTTACATCACCTCTGGAAGAAGAGTTTTGTTAGTGTATCTTTAATATTAGAAATGTTATTTTCACATGAAAGCAAGTAAAAGCAATCATTATATTGCATAGGATGTACTCTTCCAGATGATTATGATGAATTCTTTGTGATCTTTATTATTGGTAAATTCAGCTTTCTATACATTATAGTTTCCTTTCCTGATGTATACAATATCTCAAATAACATATCATCCACAATCCAGATTATGGTTACACTATTTCCGTCTTCTAGTTGTATTGCAGTTAACTAGTCAGAGCTTCTCATTTTTATTTTTTAATTCCCAGAAATATGCAGAATATCTGGTTTAACTTTATTAATAATTCATTACCTGGACTGGTCTGAATGTACTTAGTGGTTGTCTCTAGTCTTGGGATAGATTTTCTTAATTTCTAAGAACACAAAACACATGAACCTATGCTGTGTCTCCAAATGGAGTTTAAAATATTATAGTGCACCTCTTTCTATATAGGCATAAAACCCGATGTATTTCAGAGCAAACCAAAATCTATAATTTGAAATACAGATGTGTGAACCCTAATGCCCTAGTTATTTGAGAACTATTGCAAATATTTCCCAGATAAAGAGTCATCTGTATTTTTACTTCTTCTCTGTATCCTGGTGCCTTTTATTGGCTTATACCACCATGTTGCACAATGATGTGTTTATTCAGGTGCGATGAGGAACAAGGACTAAGGTTTTCAAGATTTAATTCTTTCTTACTGTTTATCTGCACGTTCAGTTTTAAATTCTCCACTCACTTTCAGTCTTTTCCTTCTCTTTTTTCTCTGTTTGGGACTGAAGTAGTACAGGCCAGTGGTGTGAGGCTCATCTAAGGAGATTCTAAGGAAAAGAAAATTATTTTGGGAGAATATTGGTTTGTGCTAGAAGATTTTAAAAGGTGAGAATTATAAAGTAGAATGCAATAGATGAGCACAATTTTTTTTTCTATGATATGGATATATTTGAACTGTTAACATCCCTTTTGTTTAGACGAGAGATCTTGTCTAAATGCGTTGCACTGCTCAAATACATGGAATTAGTCAGCTGCATACACCTGATAAGTTTCTCTTCTGTAGCAGTAGCTAATCTGACTATTGAATTTTTATTTTAATACTTTCTCTTTATGTTTTATTTAATATAGTGGAAGAATCTGTAAGGGTTTGTGCTTTGTCACATATATATATTTTTTCAATGTAAATTTACGTTTTTGTAAATTCAAGTGTAATGATCTGTCAGTGCAGTTATATTACTAACTTTGTACTAGTAGGGCAATTGCAATAAGAAATCTACAGCTCTTCAGACTCTCTTTTAAGGGCTGTCTTCCAAACAAATTTTGGTCCACAATGCTGCCCACAGTCTCTTGCACTGTGAAAGATAACACATACTGAATGTCTGTTATCTACCTGGCTAAAAAGTGCATTTCATAGGTGTATTATGTTGAAAAGTCCTTCTGTTTTGTATTAAAGGTGTTACATATGCTTGTGTATATATAAAATTTACAAGTCAAAAAAAGGGATGAATATAAATGAATATTTTTTGTAGGAATTTGGCCCCAGAATGAGATGTCTCCATTTCCAGTTGTGTGGAGTCCAGTATCTCAGAGTAGAGTCAAGAAAGGCTGAACTGAATGCTGCGTTGAACAAGCCAGGCATCAACATCTCTTTGTCTTACGTTGTTTTTTGAGTTAGACATCTCATCCAACTGGGATCCAAAACCTCTGCTTATGATACATGTGTACTTTAATCAGGTTTCACTTTTTATTTTAAGGAGGAAATACTTTTTACCTACATAGTTTGCTTGCAAATGAAACTTGACACCGGGACTTTTTTCTTCTCTCACTTTGGGGAAATTCAAGCCTCTAGAGACTAGCAAAGCCAGAAGTAGCAGCTTAGCATGGAAGCTGAATGATGCATCAGTGTTTTTCAAGGAGCTTCACCAGAGCAGCAGAGATTCAGATATCACAGAGCCAAAGAATGAGCCCCACCCCTGCCCCAAATCAGACTCTATAATCCTGTGATTATTTCCTGGAGTGTCTAGTCTTACAGAGGTCACAAGCACAATGCTAAAATGCTCACTCTTAATCTTGTTGCTGATTTAGAAAAGGGAGCGTCCACTTTCTAGATCCTAAGCCTAGGCTGTTCAAACTGTGCCAGTTCTGAACATTACTATTTCTGCTAGTGGACAAAAGGAGAATATATGGGGTTTATTCAATTTCTGGATGCAGACGTATCACTCCTGGCTGAATACTCTGTTTGGTGCTTGTGTTTTTTAGGTATTCATTAGAAACAAATTATCAATATATAGGATTCATACATACATGCATACATTTTATATTTATGTCCTTGTGTGTTTGCATGTTTGCATATAGTGCACATGCATGCATGTTTACTGTAAGGTGATGCAAAACACTGCTTTTAAGCAGCTCTGAGATCCTTGCTATCAATTCAGCCCCAGCATTGGGTGATGTTTGTTTGCATGGAGGAGGTTGTAAAAAGCACAGCAGAAAAGCATTGAATACATGTGGGTTTGGACTGCCTTTGTCTATGGGACTTGTATGGTACCTTGACATATGTCCCAGCTGCTTCCTACCAGTTGCACAGTAGATGCCCCTGTGATAGGCTTTGGATTGACTGCAGCCCAGATGTTCATTTTCTCATATATTGTTATTATGTTATATATCATTAGTATTGTTAGTACATGTTTCATTGAAATGTTCCTTTTCTTTGGAAACAGTTCAGAGACTCTCATACATGAATGTCCATTTAAAGGAGCATCTTTTTGGACTGTTGCATGTTGTTACCTTTTGTATGTGAGCTTATTTTTCAAGGTATGCTAGCTCTTGCATTCTTATGTAAAAGGTTCATTAGCACTTAAAAAATTCATGTTTAACATCATAAGTAAAATGCATAGATAAATAATAAATAAATCCTATTTCATCAATTAGTATAAAATAGCAGGTTTAAAATCAGAACAGATATTGGAGGTATTACCAGTGATTTCTCCTCTCTCCAAAAATATTAATCATTACTAAGGAATAAAACAAATATCTCTTTCCCTTCTCAAGGAGTTGTACAGTACAAAGAAATTTTATGGAAATTAACAGAATGCAAACAAAGAAAAGAAACGGTTTTACTTCATCTAATGCCTGCTTACATGAGGAAATTTTGTAAAGAAATACTTTTCAATACATTGAGGTAAAGAGAAAGAATTTGTTATTTCACTTAGTTGATATTGTATCCTCTTGTTCACAGACAAAATGCAGAATCACATTCCCTTTTTTATGACCTTTATAAATACCACTGTGTCCTTGGAGTATAGAAATATGCGGGAATGCCCACTCAGTTAATTACATTTTACTCAGTTAATATAAGCATCTCAGTCTCCCAATTCTTAAATTCCTTTTTGAGAATGAAAATATTTTTCTCAAAATGGCACAATTTTTGTACAAATAGGTAATAGGTGTTCATATAGGAAACTAAAATTCCAGAACACCCTTCCTTCATATTTATAAAACTTAAATACTGAGATTGGAAGGCAATAAACCTATTTCTAGGTGAAGATACAAAAAAATCTTCGAGGTATAGTCCTAAATCACTTTTTTTTGAGAACATGTCAGTAAATCACTCCTTGCTGTTAGATCACTTTTGACTCCATAGTTTTCTAGGACTTTGAGATTATGCACTTTCAGTGTTCCAAATTTTATATTACGTAGATATCACTTCTATATCTTTTTATAGAGATGTGATAGAAAATCACAATGCATAATCTTTGCTTCACTTGTTCTTACTTTACGTTTTACTTCTTCCAAGTGTGCATAACATTCAGATTAATTATTGTCAGTAATCTTACGTGACCTACAAAGCAACTTATCAATTTATTTAAAAATGCATATATTTTAATTTTAAATCTGTAAGCATATTCTGTTAATGTCTGAGTCTCTTGGGTAAATCCTATAATTACATCTACATTATTTTAGTGAACTCCAACATTTTATCTCATCTGTAAATGGAGGCCACTGAAAATCAGGCAGAACTATTTGTTTAAATCAAAATTAGGAGGCTGTTGATCTGTAGCAAAAGAATGGCTGGTTCTGGATGAAGTGTCTATTAACTTCAGGGCAGGACTTGATTTTTTTGTTACTTAGGGAGTTTAGAGAAGAATGTATGAAAGGAATAACAAGAATCTGTGTATGACTAACCAAAATGAGTTTAGTTCACAGTCATCTGAGAAAGCAAAAGCTGGCTGGCATTCCTAGTTCTCCTTTTCTTTCCATTTAGAATGAGTTTTCTGCTTTGGTCTTAAGAAAATCTTGGAGCAGAATAAGCATAAGAAAATGAGTCAGTGTTACTGCCTGTCCTGATCCTTTAGCAGAGTCTATCTGGCACTTCTCTTTGTGATGATAAATCTGCTAGATTCACACACAGGCAGTCATGGCAGTGTAATGCCTTTTAGTTGAAATTACATTAGCAGTTACCCAGCTTTCAATCCTTTGGTGTGTTTGTGATGTGTTAGTAGACCATATGCTAAGGGGTCAACTGGAAGTGATAAATGCAGATTATTCACTACACTTACTGCAAAGATATATTAATAAACGAACACATTTTTTGCGCCTGTTTTTGAGATGAACATTTCAAATTCCATGCTCTTTTCCCCTTTCTTTTCATAGTGTAAATTAAAACAGTGATAAGAAAAATGCAAAAGGAGAGAAATAGCTTTTTAAAATTGCAGTCAGTAAATGATTGCTGGAATAAATGTTCGTAATATTCAAGAATATGTGAGCTAGATCCTGAAATATTTTGTAATGTCCAATTACTGTCTTTTTAGGAAGGAGTGAGAGCAAAGGTTTCCTGAAATAAGCTTTATTTTAACTGGTATACTCAGAAGAGAGTGTAACTGTTTAGTGCATTTGTTGTCTGCAAAAGATTGTTCTTTGTTTACCAGTGTTAGCTGAACATAGATTTAAGCTTCACCTGGCATGTACTACTTTAAGTGACATTGTGCATGTCAGCTGAAAGCCATGGTGCTGCACAGTAATCAGACAAAACAATTCAAACAAGAGGGTGGCCTGAAGGATCTATATTTGGTTTCCATATGAAACTCAAGGTAGCGAGCTCTTTGCTGAGGTGAATGGGTTTAGATAGCCCAAAAAGTTGATATTCCCGAGGAATCTCACAGATGTGTGCTGCAAGTGTGGGATGGGAATATTTTGCCTGCTGCCAGTGGCCAAAACCCGGGCACTGGGGGAGAAGTAACTGCTTGGCAGACTAAGCTGCTTTCTCATCTCATCAGCATGGAGGGAACTAGAATTCTCTGGGCATTGACTTTGGCCTGACTTCTTGCCCATTTTGTGTATATGCCACTCAAGCTCTTAAAACTGAGGACTGATCAGTACTGAACACCATCACTGGTTAGAGTTTCCTTCTTCCTTCCTTCTCCATTCACAGACCTGCTTTCCACAGTGGCTGATCTTTTTTTAAGGAATGTTGGCTGTGGAAGAAAAGGCTGTATTTAAGGATTTATTCAAATCTAGAAATTCATTTTCTGAACGGTTTTGAGGTGAAATGTGTGATTTCAAAGGAAATGATTAATCATTTTCTTTCAGAATATTTATTTTCTTTATAATCTGACCAAAGAAATTGATTGTGTTCCATGTAGAGTTTACCAAAGCAAACGGCAGCACACAAACAGATTTCAGTGAGCCATATTAAGGTGCAATCTAGCTGATGACAACTTTATTAATTGTGGTTTTTAAATGCAAGTTGTACATGGATTTCCTTTTCCCCCCATCAATCATAAAAAGCCTTTGATACAGCCTTAAAAACATAGCTGTAGTGCACAGTAACCAGTATTGGTTCCTGCATTTCTGTTTAATGCTAAGTACTAATTTTCACAGTACCAAATACCTCATTTTCACTGGCATTCAGGAATAATATGGCAAAAGGTTGAAGAATTATGTAAAATACAGGGTATTTGTTCTCACTAGAAAGTCAGAAAAAATAATCTGTTACTACTGATTTCCAGAATTTCAAAGAGAGTAGGGCATCTGTCTATTCAACATTTAATTGTTCTTCAGACTGTAGAAATACAAATTTGAGGAGCCTTCTGCAGTTGCACCATCAAGTACTTCTAAAATAAATGAAAAATTTTACAGGAAGGACCACCTTAAATATCAATTCTGTCTTGATCTGCATTCTTGCCAGCAGTTTTAACAAGCAGGGAAAAGGAACTTCGTAATTTCTCAGAAAATTAACAAATGGGCACTGGAGCGCCAGATACAGGAGATCGGGGAAAAGCTGCAATACTGAGGAGTGTTGCAACTGGAGTGAGAGGGGACTGCAATAAGGACCTCCCTGTGAAACCTTATGCCAGCTAAATTTCTGGGCACACTTAGTGAGTTATTTATGTATTTAAGTATTCCAAACCCGAGAATAATTTTAGTAAAGAATGGTAAAAGAGCAATGCATCAGCAGTAAAATACTGACTAGGGTCAATGGCAGTACACACAACTGTGGTACAGTGTCAGTGCATTTCAGTGATTTTCTTGACAGTCTTTGATGGGATAGAACATTAGTAGTCACAATTAATTGTAATTTCGTTTTTTCCTTTTTTAAAAAAAATTTATTCAGTTTGCTTGTTCTTAGTGGAAAACTCATTTCAGTTTTTTTTTTTAACAAGAAATGTTCTTCTAGTCTATACACAACACTCAGCATTCCAGAAAGAAAATTTTAACACAATGTGATCAAAAGTATATGTTCATTGCAAAAAATATCTCACTGTGCTGTGTGCATAATGCATTTTATTTTAAATGCAAAAATTTGTCATGTTTGAATGGAGAACAAGGGAAGGATGTACAAGAACAGATCTCTAACTTCTTTTTCTTCGTAGCAGGGTTTTCCAGTTCTTCAAAATAATAATTTAGAAACAGTACATGTAATCAGGAAAATAAAATATTCAAAAGAACATTTGGGGAAGAAATGAGAGTCCTCTTAAAAAAAGGCAAACAGCATAGTGATAATTTGTTGGAAATGAAGATTTAGCAATGTAGATGTCAGAACATAGTCATAAGACCCTTGCCACTGCCACATCTTACACTTGTTTTATTTTTATACACATGGGAAAACAGCCATCATTATTTTGCTATAGTAAATAAATTGAAAGTGAGAGGAATCTTTTATATTCTCCTTTGGTGCCCTCACAGTTAGCTTAACTCTCAGTAAACCATCATTGGATGATAATAGCTATCTGTAGCTACTGACCTCTTTGTAGAATTGAGAGACTGAATACTAGGAACAGAACTCTTTTTCAAGCCTTATTATCCCAGCTGTTCAGTTTGCCTTATTTCAGAAGGAAAAAGTATGTAAGGATCAAAATATTTCCCTTGACTTTTATTACAGTTTTTTGGACACATGGCATTTAAAAATTTATATGAAGAGAATCACGATTTTAAAGGGCGTTTCCCTCACAATAACAAATGTATCCTTCAGTTCCTGGTCTTCATGTTTTTATATATTCTTTAAACTTTCTTTTCCACAGAAACAGCAGGATCTACCTGAATATTGAATGAAATGAATGCTTAGGAGGTCTCAAGGGCTTAGGCTTGTAAAGTGAGCCTTGAGAAGACCCTGAAGTGTGAGGTGTACCTTGCCCTGGTTTTTCACATTGTCATGGGACTTATCTACAAGTCTTGTATGTCAGAGGGGACACATTCTTGTACTGGCAAGCCAGAATGAAAGTCCCTTTCATACATATCCTCTCAGTGAGACCAAATCACTTCAGGAATAGATGGGATACCATGGGATGTATGTACTATAGGCAGTCACATCCACTCTGCAAAGAAGGGTGCCATG